ACGGACAATAAGACATGCATAGAGCTGAGCATAACAACACACATTGCTCAGAATCCTGCTAAGGCAGGAGGCAGCCGAGACGTCCATCGCTGTAATTTAGCAAGATGCATCTCAGGCTCTCGCAGGAGCATCCAGCTCCCCAGGACCAAGGACACGTCAATAGCTGCAGTCAGACCCTGTGAATTTGGCAGGAGGCTAAATTGGCTCCACAGCCTCGCTGGCCCTGCTCGGGGAAGGAAAGACGCCGAGTCTCAGCACAGAGGGATGTAATGAGGATTAATAAGGCGTGTGAAGACGCTCTGTAATTGTCCGGCCGGCTGTTTCCTTTGCACCTTATGCTGTCGTTTATGCTCGTGCAAAGTGGCTGTTAAACGCCCCAGGTCTGATTCAATAGAACTCTGCAGATTCCTCGCACAGGTGTAAATTGCTCTGTGAGGTTCAGGGCACTGTCTAAATGCAAACTAATCTGATCATCTCTGTTGCCTCTTTTTTTTTTTTTTTTTTTTTTTTTTCTTCTGTAAACTCCTCTGCAGACAATTGAACATTTCAATGCCTAATAAACTACAAAATATCAGGTATTTCGTGCATGAACTTACGTCCCAGAAATAGAATTCGCAGCGCTGGCTTCAAGGAGAACTGGAGATGCATCAAGATGCCAAGACTGGACCACCAGCACTGCACTTCTGTGTGCTGGTTGCTGCCCACAGCGGTGGAACATTCACATCATAAACCTCAGGGGCTGGTGCACACTGACAGCGAGCCTGAACCCTGGAGAAACCATGAAAAATGAGCTAACGACATAATTTGGGAGGGAACGGGCAAAAAACAATGCCTGACCTTGTTCAGACATAGGAAAAAACAACTGCAGAACGACAGCAGCTGTAAAATGAGCCTGAACTAAACTGCATGAGCTGGTATTTCAGGGAATAACCCTTAAAAGGTGGAAGGCTTTGATAGACGCACTCCTACAGGTAGCTTCAATCCCTGGCAGCTGCAAGGCTTCGGTAATGAATGTCAGACTGCTGGGCAGCTGTGAGGGGAATAAACAGCTATTTGCCTTCAGTGGAAGTAGCATCAGTTTGACATATGACATTCAAATGATACGAGCTTTAAAGTGTGGTTAAACGACTGATGTTTGACTTGGAACCTTGGGCCCGCCGAAGCGGCAGCGCCGCCGTTTACCTTGGCTCCGTGGGGGATTGAATCACTGAGCTTAAAGATGAAAGATCAAAGTGTTTCTGCAAATCCAGCTCTGCAGTATGTCGTGTGTCCAGCGGCTGGAGTGATGAGAGGGGTAAGATGGATCCTCCCCCTGCTGCGGGCACACGTGGGACTGAGGAGACACAAGATGGGCGATGAAATCTGAGGAATGAGGTGGAGAAAAAGGGTTATTCCCACCTGGTCCTTCCCAAAGCACACCCTTCTCCTGCCATCCGCATTGGTGGGTTCCTCTTCAAGGCTCTTTGCATTTTGCCTTGCAGGACATCAGCCCACCCTGCATCATCTCCTGCTCATTTTAGAGAAACAAGTGCTGCCAAAACTTACGTGCCTGTTTTAGGAGCCCTTGTTAGGCCCTTGTAACATCAGCCTGTCAGCTAACTACCAGCACTCATAACCCTTTGATAACCTACCTGCTGAAGTGCTTTGGCTTGCAATCTTCACACTGAAACAAGAGCTCAGGACCAAAGTTGCTGGAGGAAAAAAATCACTGCTTCCTGACCTTTGGGCAGACTCTGTGGGCTGATTATCTCATCGATTTTAACTGAATTGAGCATTCAATACGGGTGTCTGGAGGCCTGTCTCTCCTCAGCAGCGGGTACAGTACAGCACCAGCAGCAATAATAGACAAGCTCTATGCAAGCCAGGGTCAGGGGCAGGAGAGCTCCAGGTTTCTTGTAAATTGTGGCAGGCATGATTAGTCCACCTGAGCTGGGCCCTGGGAGCACTGAGGCACACGGGGAGCCCTCAGTGAGAGCACTTCAGAGAGGGAGCACTCTGTGAAGTGCAAATGGGTGCTCTCCCTTGGAAGGAGCCAAAACAACTGAAGTAGAAATGAGTGGGGCCAGACTGGAGTGATGCCACTCGAGGGGGGACTGTCCTTCCAGGAGCTGTGCTGAGCTGATGCCTGTTTGCTCTGGGAAGCAGCACTCTGCTGTAGGAGGGGATGTGTGGAGCAGAGGAGCTCATGCTGTGGGCCCCACAGTCATCCTGGATGTTTTTAGGGGGAGTGAAGGATTTGCTTCAAGCTGTCAGCAGCTGGACTATATTAGGGGAGAACCTGAAGCACTTCTGCTGTAGTGCCCTCCAAAAGAAAACCCATTTGCTCACTCTGGGACCTCACTGGAATCTGAATCAAAGCATGGCATAAGGTGGACACACATCAAATTTCACTATTGCCTAAGTGTAAATAATTTTTAAAAAATTATAGGTGCAGGTAAACTGAGGCACAGGGCTGTGGAAGAGCACAGCTCCATTTCCCTTGGATATGGGGAGTGGTTATCTCTGGAAATCAGACCAGAAAGGGCTGACATCAAATATCTTCCAGACAGCTGCTCAGTCTGGAATAAATCCAAGAAACAGCATCCCAGGTACTGAACCTGCTGGAAAATTCAGCATCCAAACATTTCTCCACTGCAAGATCTCACCCAAACCATTCCCCAAAGCCAAATCTGTTGGCAAACCTCCCTCTAGGACACTTGGGAGCCCATACCAATTTGTGCTTCCTGCTCTTAAGCACAGAATTCAGCAGAACAAAGATGAGGTGTGACAGAACTCCCGTTTTGTCCCTTGGCAGAACCCCAGCAGATGCTGGGGGATGAGGCAGTGCTGTGTCCATCTCTCTGCAGGTACAGCAGTGTTCTCAGCCCAGCTGTGCTACCCCACTCCCTTGGCACAGGGTGCAGCAGATGAAGATGCCTTTGAACAGACATGAGAGGGGCTGAAACCCTTTGAGACCTCCATGTGAACTGTATATTTCCAAAATGTTAAGCAGCTTTGTGAGAGAGATTATCCTGAAGGATATTTTCCTGTAGTGTTGACATTTCTGTGTGAGTGATTAATTCCAACATGGGCATGGGTGAGGAGGTAAAGGAGGCCTTTTCTCTTTGCCACCAGGCAAGTTTTGGCCTTTGAACCAGCAAGGCCATTAATTCATCCCTGTGACATTGCAGGTGACTTTGTCATCCTCATCTTCTTGGTCACTTCTCAAGGCAGAGGATTTTCCATGTCCCTTTTCATGAACCACTGTGATGGTACAGGCACTTTTCAGCTGTTTGTCCTCCAGGGGTCTGAACTGCCTGTACATTTAGTCCATGTGCTGTCACAAACACCCTGCCTTGACTTTGGAAAAGAAGACAGCAACAGCTGAGAACAAAGATGGATTGTCGCTTTTGGACATTGGTGTGCTGCAGGTGCGAGGGCAGAAGGGCAAGCCATGGCTGCCTGAGCTGCTGGGAATTTTCCAACCCTCTCACCCAGCTCATTGATGACTCTCTAGAGAAGCAGCCTCACTCCTCCCCTACACTTCCAGTCAAGGGTGTCTTTCACTGGGGAATTTAATTTGCTGCAGAAAGGTTATTACATCCCTTCTGAGGTTTTCTACTCAATTCCTAAAAAATATAGAAAGTAAGTATGAAAAGAATATAGAATAACATATGTATAATCTATCTACCTCTATAAAAAGAATATAAAAGAAATATAAAAACGGCTATATAGTGAATAGAATTCCTTTTGCAATAGGAATCACTTCACAACCTCAATGACTCTGTGATTCTGCTCAGCTGTTCCTTTTGAGCTGTTGTACCTTCAGCTCTGCACCTCCAGGAGCAGCTCTTAGGATTTATGGTACCCACAAGGATTCATCCAGGATAAAAAGAGTTTTCATCACCTGGCCAAAGGCTTATGAGATCTACAGATGGAGTCACTTGTGTATGGAGAAAGCACAGCAGCAGAGACTGGCATCACTTGGACACAGAAGAGGCAAGTGAACTTTTTATTGCAGTTAGCATTCCTGCAGCAGTTTTTGGAGGAATAATATGAAATTCTAGACTGTACAAAAATGTAGAAGTTTGGCAAGATTTTGAAGCTCTCAATAGGCAAAGGCACCTTTCTTCCAGACAGGATTGCCCAGGACATCTGAAGGCTTTCAGTGCTGCACCTTGCATAATGATTAATTTAGTTAAGTTGGTCTTACAGTGGTGTAATATAAATTAGACTAAAAGGTGTCATGATAGCTGTATGGATGGTTCCTGTGTTGACAATCCCTCCCATGGCAGGTGGCTGCATGCCCACGATAAAATAAGCAAACAATCAGGAAACACATGTGGGACACTTCTCTCCCACTCTGCAAATCTCCAGTCCTTAGGGGTAACTGCTTCTCTCCTGGCTCCTCCAGTTAACCCATCTGCACTTGGAATCACACAAAAGCCATCTAAAATCATACAAAAATCTAAATATATCAACATCAGAAAATGTGCTGCAGGCATTCAGTACTGTAAGGACGTGACCATTTTAACATTTGTCAGGGTCACAGCACAGAGCTGAGGAAACGTCCTTGGACAACTCTGCATGCCCAGGAGAATGAAACCAGGAGACACACAGAATCACCCAGCAGGCAGAGGGAACAGGAGCCATGGCAGCATTACTTAACTATGTGCAATTTGCTCTCCCCATCTTGATTTAAATTACACTGCCAGAAGAGACTGACAGTGCCTGGAATCAAATTGCTTAGAAAAGTGCCTCTTCAGAGACAGAGAAAAAAATGCCCAAATAACTGGAGTGCAAATGGTCTTGCAAAATGCCTATTGTGATTGGGGACAGCAGGACTTGGTCTCATGTTCATTAGGATAATGCTCATGTAATTGTGCTGGGCCAAACCCCCATGAAATGGGGGGAGGGCTGCCCCCCTGACATTCCTACAGTGAACACATTAACCTGGTCTCCTCTCAAGAGCTGGAGGAGGCACCATTAAATAAGAGTCTCTTGCTCTGCTCCTGCTTCCTTCACTTCTTCAGGTCAGCCTGGGCTCTGGGGACCATCTTCAGGACAATGGGCTTCTTTGGCTGCATGAAACCTTTCGAGTCCAGGTCCAGTGGGATCTTGAGCAGGAGGGGAAAAAACAACCACATCAGCTGGGAGAAAGGACAAACAGGACAACAGGAGCCCTACAGCTCAAACACATCACAGCTACCACTCAGTTTCAATGCATTTCCCAGCTCACAGGTGTACTTACAGCAGGACCAGCACTCTTGCTCATGCAAAGCAGCCACCAGCAGGTGTTTAACAGCCCTCAGCTCTTGGATAAACTGGTTGGTGAGCTCTGGCTTTCAGCTGGAGCGGTACAAAGAGCTCGGTGCACTGATCAACAGGCTGCACTTGGAGGGAAGAGCAGCCAAACCCCACCCTGGGTGCTGCAGCTAAATGGGAGCATGCAGTGCCATTTTGTTTAATGCACAAGTGTGTCAGTAGTAAGGGCAGCTAGATCATAATGGGAGATGGAAGAGCAATAAACTCTCCAGAAAGAGTAAAACTAAAATTGCTGCTCAGACTGAGTAGCAAACCAAAAGCATCCTCAGCATCAAAGGTTTCCATGGGATAGGTTGGGAATCTCTTTAGAAACAAGATTTAGAGCTGGTGTTGGAGGAATCATCTTGCAAGGGAGGAATTTAAGTGTTTAAAGTCTCCCCCACCAATGGATGCTGCTCATATCCCAGCTCCCTCTCTCCCCATCAGGACAAGGGTGACACACCCCCAGCCCAACAGGCCACATTCACCTCCCATATTGCAGTAAGCTTTGTTTCAGGAAATTTAAATATGGCTTGGAGCCCAAAGTGCCATCAGTGGAGCAGTGAGAGGAGGCTGCAACTTCCATGTGCATGTTCCAAAGGGATGTTCTAGCATGAAATTTTCCCTCCCATTCTGATGTACATGACACCTTCTGTAGAAAAAAAGGGCTGAAAGAGCCCCATAAACCTATGGGCACCAATAATACAATACATATTTAACTTGTCTCCTTTTAATTAAAGGCAGTTATAAAAAGAATCAATTTTATGGATTGCAGAGGACTAGAAAAATGTCATTAGACTTGGGGGAGGGTGGATAGGTCACTGCATTGTTAATGGACTATTACAGTCTTTCACCTCCAGGTTACCAGTTGAGCTGCAATCTGAATCTGCAGAGATTCCAGCTGAGCACCCGTGCCAAGTAATAATTTAATAAGGACTTTTCTGTTTCTTACAACAAACGTCCTTTGAGTGACTTGTTGCCCTCTCTGCTCTGATTTCCAAAGCTCTCCTCACAAACAGAATGTAATAATGGCCCAGCCTTTTGCAGCAGTGAGTGCAGGGAGCTGGGTCAGGCTGGAAGCAACGTGGTGCTGCCTGCCTGAGGCACAGGAGCTGCCGTGCTCTCAGCAGGGCTGGACTGACACATCATTTCCAACAGCTCCTGCATTTATTTCATGTCAAACACTACCACCCTGCAAGGCCATCTCATCTGTATGCAGCATTCACTGGGCAAAACCAGCCTGGTGGGAACCTGCATAGCCCCTAAGAGGGAGAGGGTAATCAATATAAACTTAACCCATTTTGTGCTTGCTTGAAAACCCCTAACATTTAGGGACTTCCCTGGGTCATAAGAGATGAATTTTGTTGTCTTGGAATGTCCCACAGAGAGTGTTTGTGTTGCAAAACACATCTTTGGCACGGGCTGGGGGATATTCTCTTCCTGCTCTCTGGAGCAGGGTCTTCCTAATCTGGGTCAAACAGACCAACAGTGCACTGTGGGGGAGAGAGCACCCCACAATTTAGGTGCACCCAAAGATAGGCACAGGACTTCAGGGATTTCAGCCTAAAACATCCCACCAACATTAAATACGCTTCTGTAGAGGCTTTTTAAACAAAACGTAAGTAACTTGTGGTGAACCCCTTAAAATTAACTGAGAAGATTTAAACAGTTATTCCCATCTAACAGTAGGATATCTCAGAGGGAGTAAGGGGCAGATAATGAGACACATCACCACAGATCCTCATCGGTGTGTCTTTGCAGGGTCTGAATGAGAAGTTCTGCAACAGGACAACCACAGCCACTTTCACAACAAGGAGAGCAAACCTCATCCCTATGCAGTTCCTGGGGCCTGCCCCAAATGGCAGGAAGGTGTAGGGGTCAATACCCTCTTTGCTCTCTTTACTGAACCTGATTATACCAAAACAAACAAACAAACAAAACCAAGTTAGCAAGAGCCATTCTGTTGCAGGATGTGTCAGCTTCCTAATCTGAAGTAATGAGGGGTCTGGGAAGGGAAAAGCTTTTTGGTATTTCTGTGTATATTAGAAGCTAAGTCCCTTATTTATGTCTCAATAGATACGTTATGCCTCTGCTTTCATCCCAATGCTCAGATTTGGTTGTGCAAATCCAGGTGCATTGGGTGTCCTGGGAATACCTGAAATACAGTAATGGATTTCATAACTGCTCTTTTTTCAGAACTCCCTCTCAGCTCCAAAACTGAACCCAGATTTCAAACCCTAAACCACACAGGTCTACAGCTCCACAGCTTCCCTATAGATCAAAGGACTGAGCAAACACAAAGATGTTCTCCCACTGCGTGACTAAAGACAGGGCTGCTTTTGAGACATGCCAGCCCCATTCCTTTCCTCATCATGAAAAACAGGGAAGTACAATCAGCTTTACAGAGAAATTTGCCACAGAGCATTTTCAGTAATACTTCTTAGTGATCAGTTGGTTTTCATGTCAAAAAGCTTTTCATTCCCTGTGCATGAGGTACAAACCTCAGCTATGCTAAGTCAGAAGTGAAGTATCTCACTACTGAGACACCAGCACATCCCTCTGATGAACTCCCAGCAAGGCAAGTGAGTCCTAAAGAGCTCCTGTCCAGCTACCCATGCCAAGTTTGACAACTGGAATAAGGATGTGGCTACTGGAGAAACTGGTGTAGTCTGGCCCATTGCCAGAGCACTTATATTTGGGTGTTTCCTTCTGAATCCAACACAAAGTGACCACAGGCTTCACAGGTGTTTCTGCCTGATACTACTGCCATGTTTTGTCTCAAAGGTCACCACGTTCCCATACCAGGATTAGTTTCCAGGGGTATTTCAGCTCTTGGTGCAAGGGCAGAGGTCTGGTCCTGTTCTCTCTGGACCAAGCATCAATGTCTTGGTGGCCACCTAAAGATTACCAGGTTCATGGTATCCCAGGTCTGCCTTGGGCTATTGCATCATTTTGCAGGGTCTGACAGAGCTCCTAAGCAAAGATTGCTTCAGAATTTGAGTTAAAAATTGAGTTTTCTTTCCTACCCATCTTTGCCCTTCCACTGCTGATTTGCAGGGCATTGTGCCAGTCACCCAATGGCTTTTAATATCTGGCCATAAACCCCTCAGTGTTACAGCTGCTGGGAGCTGCTCTCACTGTTGCTCCCTTCAATGCAGTTAATTAAATTCCATGCACAGTTTATGGATGTAGATCATAAAACTCCCCTCACGGTAATGCTGGGACTAGATGTCAGACAATGATAAATGCCTAATTTAAATGTTATAATCATGCATTCCCCTCTTTTGCTGCCATTTCCACTCCCAGGGCTAAGGTTGAGCATGCAGCTATTCCCCCATGTGGCCCTCACCTCTCAGGCCTGAACTCGTCCGGCTCTGGCCAGTACTGTGGGTCCCGGTGCAGCACGAAGGCTGGGATCAGGACCACCATTCCCTCTGGAATAGTCACTCCATTGAGCTCCACAGTCTTCTTGCAGACCCTCTCAAGCCGGCCCCCGGTGGGGTAGAGCCGGATGGATTCGCTCACCACCATGTCCAAGTACTCCATCTGAATGATGGCGTTGTATGTGGGAGAGGCCTGGGAGAGGAACGGGAGGACTGAGAACACAGCACTGCAACTGCCACCCCTACAGCCCCCCAGTGCTTCCAGGGAAGGGGGAAATCTCAGTGCCAGCACCTCTGCCACTCTGTTTCCAACCTGGGTTTGCAAGGCAGGTGGGAACAAGCCCAGCATCTTCCCACCCTCCTTTACCTTGTTAGGCAGGTGTGCATCGACCTCGTCCTGGAGTCGCTGCTGCACATCAGGGTGGGTGGCCAGGTTGTAGGCTATGTAGCTGAGGGTGGAGCTGGTGGTCTCATAACCAGCAAAGACAAAGATAAGAGCCTGGGCCAGAACTTCCTCATCACTTAATGCTGAAAAAAGACATAGAAGCACATACAAGAAGCTGAAAATTACAGTAATTAACCCTTGGGAATTCAGGATCCCAGTCATCAGTCTAGGTAATGCTACTCCTAGCTACATAATGGCTGGTAAAGGAAACATCCAGCTTACCCTCTGGTACCACAGAGGGGTGCACGATGCAGAGCAGTGTGCCCTACAAGTACCCTGTCCTGGCACCTCAAAAGTTTAAAAGCATCCTGCCTTGAGTTGACAGACTTGAGTTGACTATGCCTTGGCTGAGCCTTTATCTTCTTACACTTTACCTAGGATAGGGAACAGAGATGAGCTCACAGGTAAGCAAGGTACACACAGCATATGTGCTTTGTGTGCTTTTTGATATACAGCCAACATTGCTGGCCTTCAGAGACAACAGAGTAAGAAATGGGGGTAAGGAGATACTCTTTTTATTCTTCGTTGCACAAACACACCTCAGAAATTATCCCAGGAAACTAGATATAATAAAAATATGGCTGACCTGTGATAAACATCATTATGGCCCCACTACTGAGGCCCCAAATCTTTCATGGGATTAATGACTAAAATCCTCTCCCTACTTCTCTTTTAAATGGATAAGGAACTATTGCTTTCTCCTGAGAGGAGGACACATCTCAAGACACACTTTTGTCCAAGTTGGTCTCAGCAGACTTGGAGCCATCATGTGACTTCTGCGATTCAATCATGAGCTGCAGGAAATCCACCCGGTCCTGGGGAGAAACAGAGGCAGAGAAGATGTGGGTGGGGAGGAGGCAAACCTTGTCCAGCACAAGTCCCCTGCTGAGACACCCGCTCCACTCACAGCTTCAGTACACGATGAGGTCTGGACTACAGACCCTTCAGGAACACAAATACTTTCTCCACTTGGACCCCCAAGCAGGGTGTGGTTCTGGCCTTTCTTGGGTTTGGTGAGCTTGGAGAACAGGTGACACACCACAGCTTCTGAAGATGCCACCCCTCCTGTACTCAGAGCTTTTCCTGAAGAGAAGAAGCCACCTAGGTTGGACTTACTGTGCTGCTGCCCTTCTCCCGTTCCTTCTTTATTTTTGTGAAGACATTCTTGAAGAAATCCATGACATCTGAGGGTAACAGAGCCACCTTCATCTTTTCCAGCACAGGTATAACAAAGGGGAACAACACTAAAAGGAAAGAAGAGACCAACACACTTGCGCTCAAAGGGGTCCTGAAGAAAATCAAAACTGGCTCAAAGCATAGAAAGGAGCAGTACATCTGGACCTTGACCCTTTTTATTGCCTCCATCTCTCTTTTCCTAACCACGGTTGGGCTGCAACAGCACCTCCTTCATATGTTACTTCATGACCACAATACCACATTAAGTGCAGCTCTCTGTGACAGAGCAGCTCTCCACCATCTCTGCAAACAGGGTCTCTCCTCATAGGAGGATGCTGCCAAGATCCATATGGACTGTGAAAATCCTGGCTGTGGTTTCCTTGGGGAAATATTTCTGCAGATCTGAGACTGTAAATCTAATTCTGCAAAGTGTTGAGCATCTCCCCTATGGCAAAAAAGGACTCAAAGCTACTAAGGGAGCTTCCAGAAAATGCAGCACCTTTGATACTGACTCAGGGCTGTATGAGATGAGGTTTGTCATACCTAAGAGTAAGAACACAGGACTCAGGAAACTAAACTGAAGAAATTTCTTAATGTTGGTGACAAAGGGGTCATTGGGGTTGTTCATGGAGTCAACATTGACACTGAAAGAAGTGCTGGTCACCACATCCATGCTGTAAGCTCCAAAAATGCTGAGTAGAGAAGAAGAGAGAGTGAATGAGATGAACCCAACCACAGCAGAAAATAAGAACCCATCTAGGAACAATCCCTGTGAGAAGGAATCTCTCTTATTGCACAGTCCTAACATAGTAGGTCTGCCCTGATCTGGCAGGATCATTTCATTTTTGAAGTTTCCCTGTTGCATTCATTCCCCTAACTTTTTTCAGCTTCAAAAACCTAAGTGGTAGCTGGAAAGCTCTGAACTGCAGTCTAGGGTAACAACAATTATATTCTGATTTTCATCTGTAAAAGAGATTGCAAAAATGACATCCAAAAATACCGTATCTTGTGCAGCTTCTAGAAAAACTTTGGGAAATGCTTCCTACCTCAAAATGCATCTCCAGTAAAATGAAATGGGGAAAGGGCACAGCTCTCCCATTTGAGCAGAGCAGAGCACAGCAAACCCACTGCTGAGGAGCATGCCATGCTCATGACTGCTGTGGAGTTTGCTTCCATAGCTGACAAGGGATCCATGCTGCAGCATGAAAAAGGCTCTTCAGAACAGCCCCTTCCCCACACTGAATACAAACCCTTTCCTGTCAGCCCCAGTTACTCACTCCTTTGCAGTCACAAACTCATCATTAGCCACCTTCTTCTCAATATTTTTCACTAATTTTCCACCATGGTGATTAATGATATGGAACATCTGAAATGCAAACCAAAGCACAAAGCAGTGTTGACTCTTTCCCTGCCACCAAACAAGGCTGGGACACACTGTCATCTGCCACCTGCCACTTTCCACATCTGGTCTGGGGAGGAAGGGCAAGCAAGGGGAAGGTCTCATTCCCAGGCCACAGTCACTGCTTTCTCTCATCTTAACAACCTGTTCAGAGAGCTCATCTGACTAAGACTGAGCAAGGCTTGCCTTCAAAAATCCACAAACAGCTCCCACTCCAGCTTAGCATCCACTCCAGCTGGGATGAACATGGCTCCTGAGCGCATGGAAAATGGACAAGCCTGGTGTGAGTGATGTGTTTAGCAGGATGAACATACAGGCCATAGGACCAACAGCCTCATCTTGCAATGCCTTCGTGCTGTTTCCTCCCCACCCCCTTCTCCTGACTCCCTCCCTGGGATGGCAGCCAGACACTGTATTGCTGAATGGCACCAACAATGCAGGTGCTCATGGATGTGGTCCTAGCAAACAGGACAACTTCCCCATTTGAGGGGAAGGTCTGCACTCAGAAACAGCTCAGTTCTTCTCCAGCTATGGATACCAGCAGCCTGTGCTTTACCTCTTTCAGCTTCCCACTGGTGAAGGCTGGAGACAGCACTACACTAATCCTTTTCCACTGCTCGTCTTCAGCCACATTGAGAGCTGACTCCAGGATCCCGTTCAGACGAAAGTTCTGCACAGGGGAACAGGAGACAGGTGAGGGTTTACAGCCCCCTTCCATGTGACAGAAATGCAAAGAAAAACCTTCCATGGAGCACTGACTTGGCCCCTGAAGTCATGTCAGCTCTACCTCAACCAGCAAACAACAAAAATGGAAGCAAAATTCTAAGAGTCATAAATGACATCAGCCTCTACAGCACATCCAGGCTGATGTCGCAGCCAGAGTGGCCCCTACACCTCCCTAGCAGGGTTTTGATGGTGGTACCATCAATAAACTGGGGAAAATCAGAGAGCAAGTACTTGCTGAAGGGCTCAGAGGAAAATAGAAACCAAGAAGAAACTCCTTCTTTTTTCTGCATGTGCTCTGTACTGAAAGTCAAAGCACAGGACTAAGTACCTACCCGGCGATTAGTAAAAATGTTGTAGCACTCTTTCACCAGGATGTTTTTGATGAGGATGGGGTCCAAAACAGCCAGCACAGGCTGCCTGCCATCATAAAACCTAAGCCAATAGAAACCCACAGTCAGTCTATCCTTCATGATCAGTTGGAGCAAAAGCAGCCTGCTCTGTCAATGGCCAGAGCCATGGCACAAAGTGTTTGGGCCCTCTGACAAAACAGCTGGAAGGGTGAGGCTGAAACTTGTTTATTATGTAGTAAAAGAGGAGAAAGGGAATGACAGTGACAAACATGGGCAGCATGAGCACTTCTAGCTATTGTCTGTGGTATGGAAGAGTTGCCAAAGCTGTGTGGGTTTAGATAAAAGGCAGCTTTTTGCCACAATGTTGATCCCCTGCACTTGGGCTGTCTGAGTTGTTTCCACTACTGATGGCTGGAGACAAGAAATCCACACCAAACAATCTACCTGTGGAAGAAAGAGATTTCCTGCCTGGCCTACAAGGCACTCAAAGGTGAAAACCTCATCTGTCTCCTCCATTTTCCAATGAACAGAGACAGAAAAACTTAAAAGTCATGGTGTGGGCTAAAGGGCAGAGAGCCCTGTGCCACAGCTGAGGGAAGTTGCCATCTTCAAGAAGCTTGCAAACATTTAATCTTTTGAAAAAATGCATCAGGTTTCATGAAGCCTCCCAGGATTTTTTTTGCAGAGCAATTTTGTTTTGGTTTGAGAGGTTCTCAGTGGAAGCGTGATAAGAGGCCCCTGCATAAAACAAGCACTGTGCAGGGAGCAGGGAGGCAGGTTAAAAGGTAGCTTGTGCTCCAGCTCTGGGAGAAGCAGGGAGCAAGATGAAAAACACTGTGGCAGCCTGCAGCTTGCTTTCTGCTCCAGACACAGAAGAGCAGCTTCAAAGGCAGGAGGCTCAGACTGACACCAAACAGTGGAGGTGATTTTCAAAGCTTATGCAGAGAAATGACCTCATAAACTGGCCATCACCATCCCAGCCCCACACCACACTGAAATCCCAGCAGGAGAAAAGCCTTGGAGAGATGGGTGGAGACTTCCCCAGTGATAAACCTTGATTCTCCCAGGCTGTCACAGCTGGAATTACAGTACTGATGAATGTAACATCAGTGTAACTTTTCCCATTCTATTCTGGGATTGTGGAGCACCCCAATTTGGTAGTTTTGTTCTGCAGAAACTCACCCCCAGATTTTTCCATACTTTTCAAAGCATTTCTGGTCAAAATTGTGGACTCCCTGGAAAAGAAGAAAGGAGAAATGAACAGTTTGCCAGTGAAAAGTGATCAAAGCAGGCCACAGATGGCAGCACAGTGCATCCCACAGCCCCATTGTAAGTGGCAGAGGTTGAGGTTGGGAGGTACATGATCCTCTTAAGCATCATCTTAAGCTTAGGGGACATTTGCATTGGAGAGAAAAAAAGAGAGCAGAGATTGAAAAAATAAAAAAGGTACTTTCAACCTCCACCAGCCAACCTGATCTAAAAATGTAAAGAAGACAAGATATGACAGGCTACAAAGTTTTAGTGAGCAGAGTTAGGAGGCAGAACTGGATCCCAGGGTGTCCTTTTGCCTTCAGCTCAACAAGTTAGAGCTGCTGCTGTCTTGTCCTCATACGATCTTCCTCTGCAGTTACTGAAGACAGATTTTTATTTTGTTTCCATTAGGGTTTTAACTGATGTTACATGTAACAATGAAACTTACCAGACACATAAGGCTCACTAAACCATTAGTAAGAGGCAACATGAATGACCTGAATCAGGAAATACAATAAAACACCTCTTTTTTATTGAAGCCAATACACTTAATCTGCATTTGCAATCAGTTACCTGTGGTCAGCTACTGCCTTGAGGAACCTCATCTGCCTTATTTGATGAGGTTTGATAGCTTGATAATATTTGAGTTTTATTTAAAAATGTATTTGTCTGATAGTCTCAGGTTGGCCCAAAAGTAAGTGGTTGGATGAAGCATTCAGCCTCTTCATGTTGATGATAAAAAGAGCAAAGGGACATGCAGTTCCCAGAAAACAGCAGTCTTAGAAATCTCTCCAATGTTTTTGTTCATTTGTTTGTTTCCAACAGAACTTCAGTTGCTCAAGAGCAGGTAGAAACACAGGGAGAAACAAAAAATTTAAATTACAAAGTAGTTTTTAAATACAGCACACCTCCTTCAGGTTAGCCTGAACTTTTATGTTCTCCACATGTCCAAAGAGCTTCCTACCTAAAAGCACAATTTTCATCTGACTGAATCAAGGACAAATGAAAGAGATGCCCAAAGAATGGGGAAAACAGCAGCAGCCACAAGAAGGATCTAAGACACTACAGAGCATCACCTGCTGGTACTCACATGTCGGTACTCCAGGAAAGTTCCCACAAATGGCAGGGGCCGTGGGCCAGGAATGCCCAGCTTCTTGAAGGTCTGGTAGGGCCATATCCCGTAGCTGTCAACAAAGAGCATGAGAGAAGCATTTATACAATGAAAAGAGAAGATACTTCTTCCTAAGCACAGGGAACTTCTTAAATAACTGGTTTCTGTCACTCAAGGACAGAAATTATGAAATTATGGACCAGCAGCAGCTCTGCTGAGGATACTCTTTGCAACAAATGCAGGATCACTTAGGGTACGTTTTGATGGAAGACAAGGGTTGAAAGGAGCTGCACCCCAGCCTATGCAAACCAGTGTACCTGGGCACCTCAAGGCCTCATTTAGTTGCCCAGCTCAGGCAAACGTGGCTCAGGTGACTCAGGAGAGATCTCGGAGCGATTGAGTTCTGAAGCTGAGGCCTGCCCTTGTGTTTGCCTTTGCAAAGACCTCCTGCGATGCTCAGGTGGCCGCGCTACATCGGCAGGGCAGGGACATAAATTACCGCAGCAAAATTAAGTTTTAGCCTGTAGAGCTCATTACAGCTCCCCTGAGCCATATAAGCCGAAGTTTTGCCAACAGAACTACTTAATCGGGGAGGTTTTGCTGGCAGCAGCTCCGGCATCACCCTGCGCTGCCCCCAGCTGGCACAGCCCAAGGACACCACGGGCGCTGATGGCTTTAAACAACCGGAAGCTCCTTCATGGGAAAAGATTAAAAAACCCAACTATTCCCTTTACTTTCCCTCCCCGCCGAGCCCAGCTCGCTCCTCCCCGCTGGCAGCGGGGCCCCGCACCGCTCCGAGCGGCGCTCGCTGTGCCCGGAGGGCAGCGCGGGGCTCCGCGTGGTTTCAGCGCTAATTCACTCCAACCCCACCGGCACCGGGCTCTTCTGCCCGGTCCTCCAGGGCACCGGCCTCTACTCACAGGGCCACGAGGCACAGGAAGGCGGCAAGGAGCAGCCAGGTGACGGGGGAGAGGCTGGGCAGGAGCGGCATGCTGCCCGCTGTGCGCCCCGGCCCGCCTCACGGAGGGAGGCGGCGCTTCCCGCCCGCCCGGCGCCTCAGGGCCGCGTCCCCCCGAGCCGGCTCTCCGGGACCGAGCTGCCGCTCCCCTGAGGCTGGAAATTGCTGAAAGAGCGTCCCGAGCTCCTCGTGCTGCCTCTGGAGGGACAAGGAGCTGCTCCAGTGTGCCGTCTGTGCCAGCTCCGGGGGTGTCTGTGCACCTTCCCTTGCGCCTCCTCTCCCTCCTCCATGTGTCACGCCCTGTATCTGCTGTTTAGGGTTCAGGAGGGAAGGGGCTGGAGGAGACAGACCTGCATCAAACACCCGCCCAAACTGAAAGGCACATCCTCTGAAGGATTCGATCCTGTGGCAGCGTAACTTGTAGTCTCACCTGTGCC